GGCCTTTTAAATTTCTGCAGCAAGTTAACACCAGTGGGAAAGGAACTGGAAAGTAACTGGTTAATATTCAAGAAGTAGCAGATACACGCCCCTAACAGTTTTGTTCATTGACATGGTATTTTGTATCTATCTATCTATCTATCTATCTATCTATCTATCTATCTATCTATCTATCTATCTATCTATCTATCTATCTATCTATCTATCTATCTATCTATCTATCTATCTATCTATCTATCTATCTATCTATCTATCTATCTATCTATCTATCTATCTATCTATCATCTATCTATCATCTATCTATCTATCTATCTATCTATCTATCTATCTATATCCCCCCCCCTCCCCCCTCCCCCACCGGTGGTCTCATCCTTACAAGCTCGGGTCCTCTACCAGAGGCCCGGGAGCTTGAGGGTTCTGCTCAGTATCGTAGCTGTTGCTAGAACTGAACTTTTCTGGACTGAGATGGCTGATTTTTTTCCTGGGATCTGCTTTAGCCACTCATCCAGACTGGAGTACCATGGTACCACCACTCTCCAGGCTTTTTCAAGTTCTTCTTTGAGGCTCTGGTACTTCTCTAGTTACTCATGTTCCTTTTTCCTGATGTTGCATCACTTGGTATTGCCACATCAACCACAACGGCTGTCCTCTCTTGTTTGTCCATCACCATTTTGTCAGTCTGGATCTAGAAGTCCCACAGAAGCTTGCCTCTCATACTCAACCACCTTAGGGGGTGTTTCCCACTTTGACCTTGGGGCTTCCAGTCCTTACTCTGCACAGATGTTCCTGTAAACTATACCAATAAATGAAGTAAATGAAAATAAGTAGCACAAGCACATATGTATACATAAACATACAAATGGTGCAGCAAACCCATACGTTCAGAACAGACAACCCATTGCACAGACAAATATCAAGTTAAAGTAAGAGTTACTGTAAATTTAAAGATATAACAATTAAATCACAAAGAGAATCAGGAACAGCTAGGCATTATTTGTTTGTACACCAAAATGAAGTGATATACCCTTAATCAGCAGGTAAATTGTTACAGTCCATTGGAGCTTTGACAGAAAAAGCCAGCTTTCCTGACTCGTTTTTAAAAAGAGGAACCACAAATAAAATCTGATGAGTTCTGAAAATGTTGTAGTGAGACAGGAACAGTATTAACGTACTTAAATAACATGGAAAATGAAAATAAATACATTTAAAAATAAACACGTCCCGTGTATGGGCTTGTCTTCCCACAATAGTGTCTCCTCCTCTAGTCACCATTATCTGAGACATTCACTGAGCATGTCATCTGTTGGGGCCTTGGCCTTGATGTTCTTATGGATCTTGGATGTTTCATCCTAGTTGGTGCCTATCACACTCACTAGTCCTCAGCCTCTTTCCTTATGGCTAGTGTACAGTCTCAGGGTGCTGGATATGGGATGGAACCCTCCATGCATGGTTAGGAACTTGCATGTCTTAACATCTGTCGTCTGTATTTCTTCCTTTGGTTGCCATGGTCATGGGTTAATACTTTTTAAGTTAGATCAATTGAATTGTCACTTGTGTTTTGAGAAACTTCCATCCATAAATTTTCTGAACCCGCTTGTCCATGCAGGGTCGCGGGAGGGGATCTCCAGCAGTCAACGGGAAAACGGGGGTACACCCCGGACAGGATGTCAGTCCATCGCAGGCCAACACCGAGACACACAAGACAAACAACCAGGCACACACACTCACACCCAAGGATAGTTTAGACCACATATGTCAGACACAAGGCCCGCGGAGCATTTTTATGTGGCCCGCGAGATAAATATCAAAAATATATTAAAACTGACCCGCTGGTGGATTTTACCGCTAATACTACAACTCCCATGATGCTTTGTGGCGTTAGCGTGGAGCAGACGCGCCCCCTCCTTTGTGTTTTTTCCAGCGTTTGCTGCCGGTGTCTGCAGCTCCGCTGTCTCGGACAAACTACACTCCTCTCACTCAGCGCCGAGTTCACTCAGCTGTTTTCTGACGTTGAAGCCCAGAAACGGAGATTCTAGCCGCTCAGTAATGTGTTCACGACTTAAAGAGAAAGTTTTCCAACTAACGTCCAGACAGAGCTGATATAACTCCAGCGAGCAGCGACACGCTCAAACCAGCATGACTCTGTGGCTGCTGTCGTTGTTATTTTTCCTCCCCGACACACAACAACGCGGTCAAGCTGCTCAGACATGTTCATCAGCACAAACCTATGTGAGCACCTGTTGTCATCTAATGTTGTCATTATTATGATGAAGATGAACAAAACAACAGGAGTCTCCTCCTCAGCTCAGATCAACCCCATGATGCAGGTATCTGGCTGGAACAGGTGAGCATCACAGTAAACCAGTGGAGCAAACTGAGCTTTAAATATGTTGGTTTTCTGCTCTTTTTCTGCTCCAAAACATGAAAGTTAACAGGTGATATGTTGCATTTTCATTTAAGATAAAATGATATTTTTATTTTGTTGTTGGCCCGTGAGAAA